ATGTCACAACAAGCTTTCAAAGACTCTTTTGGGGGTGGTAGGATAGAGGCCCGCACTCTCTCTCTCTCTCTCTCTCTCTCTCTCTGTCGTTTTGGGGCCAGGGATGGGAGGGAGCAGTGCAGAAAAAGAGCTTAGTCATCATTTAATACCATTTGCCAGTGTTAAATGACTGGATGTAATGATAATTTCAAATCACGGGTAGTCAGAGGCTAAAAACACAACCTCTGCACCCAGCAAACTGCAGTTCAGATTGTCCTGCGGGGAGAGGTAATTTATGCCAACCATGCTTAAATTCAGGGGTTCCCTCTTAGGAGGCAATTTAATGTTCTCCTTTCCCCATTCCAGAACCTGATGAAGGTGGCTGCTCAGAACTTTGTCCAGAACACCAACATCGATAGCGGACAGTGAGTTCACTCAAGCTTGCCTCTCCACAGCCTGGCTGAATATACCCACCCTGCTCCTTTTTTTTCTGCAAATTATAAGCTTTTCTTCATTTTCCTTTTCTTCAGGAAAATTAGTGAAGTTCCAGTGCAAAGAGTGGACAAAAATCTTGAGGAATTTTACGCCTTGTGTGACCAGCTGGAACTCTGCCTGGTAAGTCCTGCAGGAGAGGGAACCACTTCTCGCTCATTGGCCACGGATTCCAACCTGATGAAATATTTCTCACTGGGGTTTGTTTTTTCCCCATCTTTTTTGTACTCCACATCTCTGGCTGGTGCAGTTGGGGATGGGCACTGCTTTAAGAGGACCCAGTTGTGAGAAGGAGCGGCCTATCTCTGCCTTAGGCCAACAGGCAGTCTTCCCTGGAGAGACCAGCAGCAGAGGAGGCTGTTGTCTGCTGGCCCTCCCTAGGCCATTCCCGGGGGGGCATCTGATCGGTTTCGGTCTCTGAGGCTACTGTTCTGCTCTGACATCCCACTCTTTCTCCCTCTTTCCAGCGCCTGGCCTACGAGTGCCTTTCCCAGAGCTTCGACAGTGCTAAGCACTCACCCACCCTTGTGCCAACAGCCACCAAGCCCGACGCAGTCCAGGCAGAGAGTCTGCCTTACACCCAGTACCTCAGCATGATCAAGTCCCAGATCTCATGTGCCAAGGACATCCACAATGCCCTCCTCGAGTGCTCCAACAAGATCACAGGCAAGATGCCCTCTCAGGGGGCCTTGTAACCTGCGAGGCTTTCAAATCACTTCTGAATTCTGACCCCCTGGGCAGAAGAGCCAAACGGGCTGGAAGAGGGCAGAACCAGAATTCTGGTTCTCAGTCTTGCCTTCAGTTCGTCTCCGTCTCATTTTTCAGCCCCAGGGCCTATCCTGTGCAATGCTCAGCTTCCTGACAGAGCTTGCGGGAGCCACCGAGCAACGATAATTCTGCCAACTGCAGGTCACAAAGCTCTCCTGGAGATGGCTGGCCAGTTTTTCCTATTTTTATTTTCACTTAGGAGAAAGCTTCATGAGGTCTGCCCCACAACAATGACTCCCTCGCTGCTGGAGATTTCAGAACTCATAATTTTAAAAAAATCACCTATTCCAAAGGGACTTCAGCCAGGTAGAGAAGGGCCAAATGTCTTTCTTCGACTTAATTTCCAGAAGGCAGATCTGGGCATGAATACAACGTTCTGTGGACCTTGGTTATCAAATGTGTATCTGTAAAAAGACGACTTCTGGGCTGATGAATAGGCTTCTAGAAGTGTATCTTTGCTTACCTTTCTGTTATACTTGGTAAAAGGCGATAGAAGGCATTGCAACACAATAAAATCTGCCTAATGAGTTTAGTTTAAGTTGAGCACGCTCCCCGCTCTGCCCGCTGGAGTGATCTTTGGCCTTGCCAGGTTTTTCTCCCTGACCAGCTGAGAAGAGAAGGAGCCCACAAACCAGCCTGTTCAGTTGGAGAGGGGCTGGTCTGTTGCATCCCAGAATGCGGGAAATGCATGGAAGAAGGGGCTTTGGAGAGGTCATGGGCGAGCACCACGCCCACGTGGAAATGCCAGCTGCCTAGCCTCTCCTGAAGCTGTTCTTCCCCATGGCGTGCTCTTTTGGCTCACGTGCGTCCTCCTCCATCTCTTTGTGCGAGACTTCCGGCTTTGTCTTCACACCCGTGTTTTATTTGCTCCTCATTTTTACCCAAAGCTTACCAACAGCAAAACCTGCCTCTTTAGAATCAGAAATGGGTCCCTCAGAAGCATTGGCACACCCTTTGACCTAAGCCCGCAAGGTTGCGTACGTGGCTGCCTCATGCTGAGTCAGGCCCTTGGCTCAGGGAACTCACCGGGGGTGCGCTCAGGGATCTGTAGGATCTTTGGCTGCTGTTTCCTAAGCATTTCCTGCTCCAAATCCTTTTTATTGAGAGGCGGCCAGGGACGGGATTAGAGGCCTCCTGCCCCCAAAGCTGGACTAGGGTAATTCACTGCCAGCAACCCCGTCTGGGATGAAACAGACATGGCCCTACTAGCACCCCGCCCCCCCGGTCAACCCTTCTGCAGGAGGCTGCTCCACAGTTTCACCTTGGAGAGGCCGGGTGGGACGAGGAGGATGGCGTGAGCTGTCTGCCTCTACTGTGTGATCCCCAGGTTGGGGACGGCTGGCCCACCCATCCGAGAAGCAAGGGTACTGACTGAGAGGAAAACAGCATGGTGGTATGGCCAGGAGCTACACTGGACTCTCCACCATTGTAGCAAAGCACCGTTGTAATATGTGGGGCAGTTTGTCAACAAGGAGAGGCTTTTAGAGGACTGGAGGGTTGCTTGTGAGTGACCTCCAACTGGCACTGGGGCAGCAGAATGAAAGGGGAAGATGAGCCCAGGGCTGTGACTTGGCCAGGACCCCTCTGCACTTGAGGGGTCCCCTGTTTTTGGAAATGCTGGGACGAGCCCCAGCAAGCAGGCCCTTGATTCTTTCCAGTTGGAGGTGGATGGCGAGTTGCCTTAGCGCAGTTTCTCAACCTTGGCAACTTTAAGACGGGTGGACTGGGGAAAGCAAGGCTGGCTGGGGAATTCTGGGAGTTGAAGTCCACCCATCTTAAAGTTGCCAAGGTTGAGAAACTCTACCTTAGGAGTTTGAAAGGCAGGCCCAAATTCTGTCCTAAGGAGAAGTCTGGGAGCCCCTTCCCCAATGGAGACATGGTGTGAGAAGGCAGAGGCTTGCTTTCGTGAACGGTGGCTTTTTAAAGCCAAGTGTTCATTGGGACAGGCTGCAGCTCACGAAGGCCTTTTAGTCTCCTTTGTTAAGTCAGAAAAGGTGCTGCCAGACCTCTGTTTTTCTGCGACTGTGGGCTAACACGGCTCTCCTGGCAGGAAGCAGAAATGAGAAGGCAAACTCTGCAAGAAGGAAGCGGGCACTTTGGCCCTCCAGGACAGCTGGGAGCAGGAAAGGTTGGGCGCTTCCCTTTGCTCCTGCCTTTTCGACGAAGGGAGATTTGTCCCATCTGGTTCCTCTGCAGTTCCATAGGGTAGCTTTTGCAATATTTATTCCGGGCGTTGTGGGGTGGGGGGGAGGACATTCAGTTCTTGGTAGGCCCCCAGGCCAGAAAGCACAGTTGCATCACAGAAGGCCCAGGGCCCGTCTTCCTTCTGCAGGCAGCTTGCTGGTTTCCCTGCTGAGCAAGACTGCCTCCTTCCTCTACCCCCCCCCCCCGGCCCCCATTTCTGTTGCAAGGGGAGGGAGTGGGAGAGGAAGCTACAGCAGCAAGCGACAGAACACCCTGTTCTCAGCTGTTTTAGCTGCACCTCTTTGCCCCCCTTCCAAAAGCCACGGGGAGGCAGTGAGATATTGGAAAAAGTCAGCCTGTGCCAAGCCACAGGCCAAGAGTTGTGTCAGCAAGCAAAAAAGGAAAGCAGTTCCCTGTCCGGGCTTTCTAAAGCAGCTTGTCCCCCAAGGTAGGGAGGGGGTCGGTTCCCAGAATGGCGCAGCCTTTTGCTAGCGCAAAGAGGAGCCCAGCCCGCCTTCGTGCCAAGCTGCCCTTTCTGATTCCGGCAGGAAGGCCGGCCAACCCCTCCCACCCCGTCCGTATTCGTGCATTTGTTCCATCTGTGCTGGAGAAACTTTCAGGGCCCTCCTCAAGAGGCAGTTTACTTGAAATGTTGAAACGTTAAACAAACCAGCAATACTTTTTAAACATGCAGCTTTTACACCCGCAACTGCCAACATTGCTCAGGCACGTTGAGGAGGCACACGCAGGCGGGGCTCAGCACCAGGGCTTTCTCTGGGGGGGGGGGGGGGGGGGGGGGGGGGGAGAGTGCCTGGTCTCTGCCTTTCTTAGAGGCAGGAGTTCGAAAGAGAATAATAAAGATAAAAGGTGATTCAGAGCCTGAGAAGGCTGGGGATGATGCAGGGCTTAATCAAAGCCTGTTCCACTGGCCCAGTGAGGCATTTTTTTTTATAAAGGGCAACCAGGACAGAGGGGAAGATGGCTCTTTCAAAGAGGAAGATGGGCAGGCAGAAAGAAGGGGGGGAGGAAAGGAGGAGAGGGAGAAGGGAATGAAGGCAAGCCCCCCCCCCACCTCTGCTGTTCCAGAAGCAACATCCCCGGACACATTCGGTTCCAGATGTGCAGATGCAGGCCCTGCCAGCCCCACATCTGGCTGGGGTGGCCGGGATGGCTCTGCCCTAAGGAGACAGCAAACGGCCTCCCAGCCGGGTTGGCGAATTTTTTATTGGTGTCCCAGCCGCGGGTCAGTTTCACCCGCTCTTCCCAGACAGGTAGCAGCCCTGCCAGTCTCTAATCAGGGAAGAAAGCCAGAAAGCGAGGAGGGGTCTTGGCCCGCAGTGCCACCTCTCCTCCCTCCTCCCTCCCACCCCCCAATCAGGCTTTGGCTGGGAACACACAGTGTGTCAAAGAAGTCAGCAAGACAGATGCCCCTGTGCAACCCTAATCACTTGCTTTACATGCAACACTTTGATTTCAAGGGCACCGCTGCCATTGTGACTTTCTTCACACACGCACATCGCCTTCCCCTTCCCTGCAGACATTCTTGCACAAAGAGGTTGAACTGGCTTGGCTTTATCATGCTGGCAGACATCGAAGCTTCAATCCCACCGTTGTGACTTTTTTGACCACACCCTGAAGACACTCCTGATCAGCAAACCCAGTTAAGCAGGGTTTGCAAGACATGGATGGCTTGTGTATTGTTCAGTTTGCGTATCCCCGTCGTTTCCAAATGAGCCGTGCGTCCCCAGCCCGCCACGGCCTGTTTTCAGACCAGTGGTGCTACTTGGAAAGGGGACGCTGAGGCACGCCCACCAGACCAGGAGCATCGCTCCCTAATCTGGGGTTGAAGAAAATCCACAATGCACGTGTTGGAGGCCGTAAAGCCCTCACTTCAGGGCTTCCTCCGACTTTAACCTCCTCGACTGTGCACTGCAGCTCCCCTGGTTACGATTTTTTGCCAAGAGTGAAGGTGAAACCAAACCATGCAATTCACGATCCTCCCTCCCTCATGCGGCTGGCTTTGGGGCTTCCCCCCACCCTGCTTGACTGAAAGTAGCAGTGCAAAAGCTGTGACCCGTGTGCTTTCTCTCCCTTCTGTTGCCTTTTTTCAACCCACCTAAAAAGTGTCTCTTTTTATAGTCCCCCAGGTTTGCATTTCCTGCTTTGCAAACATGTACTGCGGAGGCAGAAGTGTCCGGAAGAGCTGAACTGAAGGACTAACTGGGGGGTACCCCTAAACCCTGGCAGGCGGCATGAGCACCATCAACATCTTTTAGGCGTCCAGCCTCACCCACTGGCTTCCTGCAATGCACCTTCCGATCCGTGGGGTGGGACCCAGGAGTGAACCTTTGGGTGCCCCTTTTCATCGCTTCCATGACTGCTCCAAAAGGCCCCCCTCCCTTCTTTATCCCAAAAATGTGAGCTGTGCAATGGAGGGACACGGGTCACACTTAGCAGTTGAATAGTGTGCAAGGCTGGACAACGAATATGCCTTAATTTGAGTGAATCAGCACACAAGGTACCTACAGTTAGCATGACTGCACCCCGGGGGGGGGGCTTTCTTGCTTATGCTCCACTTACCTTTGCCATGTGGAAGCATTCTCCACATCTCTGGAAGAACCTGGGGGGCACCTCCAGGGTTTGAGGGCCTGGCTGTGCTCCCCTGCACCAGGCTGAAATGCCCAGAGACAGGGAGATTTCAGCAGCTGCACCAGAACACAGAGCCTTGGCTTGCAGCTTGCTGGTGGCACCCTGATGCCTGGGGGGCCACTGGCACCACCCTCAGGCCGAGGGCTGTAGGGGGGAGGGTCTCATTGACCGGTTGGGGTGCCAAAGGCTGGTCCAGAAGCTGGGCCCCGGCAGGCTTTTCCTACCTTGATGCTTTTTTCAACAGGCAAAGCGTGTGAATCAGCTGAGGAGTGTGTGTGTGTGTGAAGAGAGGCTCTCTTGTGATAAGGGTCCTTTCCCCCACTGTCAGCGGCTGACTGGCATCATTAATTGCTACAAAGCAGGCAGGAATACAGCAGGAGAAGCTCCAGCTGAGGAGGTCGCCCTTCCCATCTCCGACGCGTCCACCTCCTGCTCGCGTGCTGCGATTCACACGCGGCGTGCCCGGCGGTGTGCCGCCGGCCCCGGCACCCGCCCTGACCTGCCTGGTGGGTGAGGGGGGGGGTCGCCGATTCGCCCGAGGCTGCGCCGAGGGAGGAAGCCCCCTTCGCCCCGGCGGCCTTGCAGGCAGCTAGTTTCTCCCGTGCAAGGAATTGGCCTGTAGCGTCAGCGAGTGTGCAGGTGAATGAGTCTGTGCGCACGCTCCCCGGTGAGTAATCAGGATGCGCGCACGGGTGTGTAGGATCT